TCTAGCACATATATTCTCCATCTCTTTGACATTTGGTTGTGCATTTCAGGAGATTTCTTAAACTTTGTCTTTTAGCCCTTCTAACAAATCATTTTTCATTTTAATAACCATTTAAAAATTAAAGATATTTTGTCTGTTTTCTGTTTGCTCCTTAAAAGAATTCTGTTTTGTTATATGGAAACAATGTCTTTTTAACCACTCTGAAGCTACTCATATTTTTTTAAAAAGTTGTTTTAAATGATATTCCCTCTAGCACTAGTAACTTTATTTTTTCCCCCATGCTTCTTCCTATGGAAGGCTATTCTTGGTTATATTTTTAAAATTAAAGACTTCGTTGACTTTTCTGGTTAATTGGTGTTGCTTTCCTCCATAAATCATGTATATAATCTTCTAGGATAGGATCCTTCCCTGAATGAAATGGTGATTACGAGGCTTTTTGCACCTGTGGGCTCTGTTGACTTCTAGGTTGACTTTAGGGTGAGGAGGCCAGAGCTGGCTTCCAGGCCAGAGCCCACCACTTCCCAAATGCAAGAAAGAGAAAGAATTTACCTAAAATACCAAACTCATATTAGAAGCACTGGTTCACCTTAACTAATCCACAAAGACTTCCCGTTAATTCTCTGCTTTCAGGCCCCGCTGCTCGTGCCTGCTCTCTGTCCTTGCTGACTCTGTGTTCAGAGCCCCTTTCTATAGGGTCACCCCCATTCCTAAGGTGGTCCTTCTTGCACTAATTCTGGGTTCTGTCTCATCAGTAACTTTCCTCCAAACATTTTCCTCTCTCATTCTCTTTAGAGTTCTTCCTAGTCTTTGTAAAATTTTACAGTCAATTAAAAAGAGTTATAGGATAGAGAGAAGGCAAATGCTTTTGCTTAGTCACTCATGTTTAATCTTTGTCTTATTTTTTTTTTTTTCATTTTGTAAACTGGGAAGTTGCGTGCTAAATTTTAACAATTGAACACATTTTTAACATAAAATACATAGATATATGAAGAAGCATTTGAGAGCATTTGCCAAAAAAAATGATAAACAAATTGTGGGTAATTTTATTTTATACTCTTTGTATGTCCACAGTCAACACCATTATTTTCATAACAAACATAATAAAAGTAAATTTTAGGTGCGGATAAAGGGTACTTTTTGTTATTCTCTTAGAGGAGGAGTCTGCAAACACAGGAGCCCCTTGGCATTTGAGAGAAGAGCGAGAGTTATGCTCTGAGACCTCTGAGAACCCCAGATTTCACTGAGAACACCATGAATTGAGAGATGAATGTAGGTGAGCTGCTTGACTGATGCAAGCTATCGGGTTTCTTTTTGTTACATGCTTCACATACACCCCTAGGAGGCAAGTAGTATTTTCTTCACTGCCAATCAAGGTCCTTTTAGATTCACTTCCCATTTACAATTGAAAACAAAACTGCCAAGAGACCACTGTAGGAATCATGCACCTACACCACCAACAAGGGCCAGGTAGGTAATGACAATGATTGAAGTGAACCAGGTGAGTCTGTGCCAATCTAGAGAGCATGTGCCAAGCCCAAGGTGATCAGCTACTATTCAGCTCTCACTGAATGTTGGCTTCCAGTTCTAAATGTCCTTTATGCTGAGGTTCAATTTACATAGAGTGAACTGCACAGATCAGTGTATGGCTTAATGAGTTTTGCCGCACATTTTAGAGCACTGTAAATAGAACCTGTCTATCATCCAGAGCTGTCTCCTGCATCCCTACCCAGTCAATCCCTGCCACACCCCCAAGTCAGATAACCTCACTTCGGATTTCTATCACCATAGATTAGTTCTGCCTATTCTAGAACTTCATGTAAATAGAACACCCAATTTTTAAGAGAACTTGAAACTACATTTTAACGGAAACCTTTTTTAAAAATATATTTTAAAAATTTATTTCAGAGAGGAAAGGAGAGGGAGAGAGATAGAAACATCAATGATGAGAGAGAATCATTGATTGGCTGCCTCCTGCACACCCCACACTGGGGATTGAGCCCACAACATGGGCATGTGCTCTGACCAGGAATCAAACCATGACCTCTTGGTTCAAAGGTTGAGGCTCACCTACTGAGCCACATCAGCCAGGTGAGGACAACTTATTTTAAATATTCCCCAACCAACTCCTCCACTGTCTTCTTCGCAGCTTTGTATTTCTCCATAGCACTCATCACCATCTAACCTGCACTGCATTTTACTTCCTTATTTTCTGTATTCCTCCCTCCCTTCGTAAGACATGGAAACAGGTACACAGTAGGACTTCATTAGACATTTGTCGAACAAATGAGTGCATCAAGGAAGAAAGGAAGGAAGAAATGAAAACCCCTGCTAGCTTTGGAGATGCTAGTTAAGAATGAACTAGTTAAGAAAATTTTATCATTTCTAATTATCTTCCAGCATCTAATTGTTTTGAGGCAGTAAAGATTTAAGGAGCAAACTAACGATAATCTTGAAGACCAGAACAACCCTGACTATACTTACTATCTTTAAAAATTAGATTTGTGGGAGGACAAATGCTTATATATAAACACATTACTGGGTATTTGATAATAATTAAGTTTTTCATTAGGTTTAAAGTTATGATGACAAAACCATCTTTTCCTAGTACATTTATTCCTACCTTAACTCATTTTAAGAAGTAGGCAGAGAATAACTTCCGAAATAATAAAATTGCACGTGCTCAATATTACTAAATCTTTGTAACAATGATCAGCAATAAACAAATGAATCCAATACTAGAAAAACATTTTTTTTTTTAAATGTCAGTGAGTACAACCAGTTCTAGGTCAATGTAGAGGTGGGGGCTGAGCTGGTTGTATAGTTCTCCACCAGATTTTTGACAGAAGGTGAGGGCAGTCCCTCTGAGACACCAAAGGTTTCCACTCCAGAAAAAAATGTTCTTCAACATAAGACATCATTTAGAATCAAGTCGGGCTCTGTGCTCTGTGATTGGTCAATGCTGATTAGACCAACTGTATTCAGGTTGCCAATTGACCCATGGAGACACCATTCCATGCACTGCGTATGGAAGACTTCAGAGAACACACAGGAATCATGGGCCACATTTACCAACACAGAGTAGGTGGGATACAATGATTTGCCTAAATTTTAGAAATCTTGAGAATAAACTTGTAGCAACTATAAGACCAAGCAGAGAGAAAAGAAATAAATTAAATGTAGTTCTTGAATCCACGGGCCTTCTTACCCTTGTTCTACATTTCCTCCTTAATGTCTTTTCATCTTTTGTCAACTCATGTCTGTCTTTTACTGATCTGACAGTCACACATACACTGTTTTTTTCTTCTTCTGGGTGTTTGGGATGTGAAGGGCAGTAGGAGAAAGAAAGAGTAGGATAAACAGAAATAAATTTCATGGATTACATTTAATGTTATACCTTTAAATCTAAGAATAACTTTCAAGTGTGAACATCTGCAGAATTTACAATGTAAATGGCAACAAGATTAGATCCAACAAATGATTAAGGTAAACTATGTGCTCTTTTTTCCTATCCCAGTTCTGGTAACTCAATAGCCTACAACTACTTGAGAAGGTGTGAGGATCATTTTTTTTTTCTTTTATCTCAGTTTGGACACAGAAGCTCACATTTCAGCAACGATCAAGGTGATCATCCTTATCCCTTGCTGACACCTTTCTCCCCACCCCAACAAGTCACAGATCACCTCTAGGAGAAAATTTCAATAGGCTATTAAACACTGGCATGGATACCGAGAGAAGACAGATAATCCTCTCTGGGGACCTTAAGGAACAACTAATCATCTTGGATAGGCAGAGTTACACCTGATTCAGTCCGTCAACATGTACTAGCTGCTGAAAACTCACAAAGCACTGTGGAAATACTAGCTGGTGAGGAGGCACGGCACCTTCCCTGAATGAATGGACATTGCTTGATTTGGACTGTTTCTTAGAAAAGCACGTTAAGACCTGGTTACCATTAACTGTATGTAATACTGGGCCAGGCTGTGTATAAAAAGAATTTTGTTCCCTGGTAAGTGTTTCTCAGTGGTTTGAGTGTTGGCTTGTGGACTGAAGGGCCACTGGTTTGATTCCTCGTCAAGAGTATACGCCTGGGTTGCAGGTTTGATTCCCAGCCACTGTCGGAGCATGTGTAGGAGGCAACCAATTGATGTGTCTCTCTAACATTGATGTTTCTCTCTCTGCCTCTCTCCCCTTACCCCCTCCTATCCATTCTCTCTAGAATCAATGGAGAAAATATCTCTGGTGAGGGTTAAAAAAAGGAATTTTGTGGGCCTGCTTTCTACCTTTAGGCGATACAATCTTAGAACCATTATGGTTATTTAACCCAATAACTCGCAATCTTGGCCAGGCATTAGTATTTTCTGGGTGTGTATACAGGAAACGGGGGCTTTAAAAAAATAGAGATGTCTGGACCTGCCCCAGTCCAATGAAATCAGAATCTCTGATCTAGTTTCCTTCCTTCCTTCCTTCCTTCCTTCCTTCCTTTCCTTCCTCCCTCCCTCCCTCCCTCCCTCCCTTCCTTCCTTCTTTTTTCTTTCAAATTAAACTCTCCAGTTGATTTAAGCGCATTAAGATCGCTAATCCCACATGACAACCTTATCTTATACATAAAAAAATTAAGGTCCAAAGAAATTAACTGACTTGTAACTTGCCCAAGATCACTCATTTAGTTAATGGAAGAGTTTGGATTAAAATGATGATCTCCATTAATTTACTCATCTAATAAATGTCTCTCAATGTCATTCTAGGGTAGTGACCAGCTACCTAGTTGTTACTGAAGAGTAACAAGGTAAGTCAGAGCTGGTTCACATCTAAGGATCAGGCAAGCTGGTCCTGACAGAAGTTAAAAGGGTGAGTTTTAAGCTATGATGGTTCTGGCATGTGCTCTCTCGGTGTATTCAGGCCTCTGGAAATGTTAAAGGAATCCTTTGGTCCAGGTATACTATATTGCTACCTATGACCCCCTGTCCCATTTTACTAGTTCCAGGAGTCCCTCTACTTACCCAGATCTAATGTGTAGCACAAGGGGGAAGGGGACAGGGTCCCCAGCTGGGAAGTCTGGTGCAGTTTAGTGAAACCTTGATCAGTGGGGATGACAGCTGGCTCCTCGGCCCTAGGCATAGAAGAAAAAACAGTTTATCCACAGTTGCTGGCTTGTTCTTTGAAAGAAGTTATGTCTAAAATATTTCTTTTTCATATTTATATATATACATACACACACACACACACACACACATATATATATAAAAATATATTTATTGTTTAACGTATTACATATGTCTCATTTTTCTCCGACTGACCACCCCCCCGCCACTCCCACCCCCGAGGGCAAGTCCCCACTGCCCCAGTGTCTGTGTCCATTGGTTTTGCTCATATGCATGCATACAAGTCCTTTGGTTGATCCCTAACCCCCCACCCCTGCCTTCTCTCTGAGGTTGGACAGTCTGTTCAGTGCTGCCTTGTCCCTGGATCTATTTTTGTTCGTCAGTTTATGTTGACCATTATATCCCACATATGAGTGAGATCGTGTAATATTTATCTTTCTCTGACTGGCTTATTTCACTTAGCATAATGCTCTCCAGTTCCATTCATGCTGTTGCAAATAGTAAAAGTTCCTTCTTTTTTATAGAAGCGTAGCATTCCATTGTATAGATGTACCAGTTTTTTAATCTACTCATCTGCTGATCGGCACTTAGGCTGTTTCCAAATCTTAGCTGTTGTAAATTGTGCTGCTATGAACACAGGGGTGCATATATCCTTTCTGATTGGTGTTTCTGTTTTCTTGGGATATATTCCTAGTGGGATCACATTTCCAGTTTTTTGAGGAAACTCCATACTGTCTTCCATAGTGGCTGCACCAGTCTGCATTCCCACCAGCAGTGCAGGAGGGTTCCTTTTTCTCCACATCCTCTCCAGCACTTGTCGTTTGTTGATTTGTTGATGATAGCCATTCTGACAGGTGTGAGATGGTACCTCATTATTGTTTTGATTTGCATCTCTCGGATGTAAAATATTCTTAATGCTGTCCATTCATTCCCAATAGCAATAAACTCTCTCCCAAGACACAACTACAATTCTCACAATGGTTTACATGGAAATATTTATATACTAAAAAGATATATAGAGTTCAAAAAATGTACACACATATTGAATAATTATAAAGGCAGTGCTTATTAAACTACATTTCATTTTCAAAATTGAGCTATCAGGTATTAAAGTGTGTGTACACATTTTGGGGGACACCCTCTGTGTATATCTCCCTCCTAAAGGTGAACTATGTATGTGTATGTGTATGTGTATGTGTATGTGTATGTGTGTGTGTGTGTGTGTGTGTGAGAGAGAGAGAGAGAGAGAGAGAGAGAGAGAGAGAGAGAATTTGTTCAAATTTTCAACTGAATCATTGCCATACTTAGCAATTCATGGCTACCAAAGTTGACATGAGAAACTATCCTAAATGGTGTATCAGTACTTGAAGAAAAACAATCTCAGAGCAGTTTTATTGAGAAGAACAACAAAAAATTGAAAAGTGAGATTCATAAAGGTCAAGGTAAAAGCTAATCTTTATCAACTAAAAACTTAGTGTGGCTCAGTTGGTTGGAGCATCATCCCGTACACCAAAAGGTTGTGGATTTGCTTCCTGGTCAGGGCACATATCTAGGTGTCAGGTTCGATCCCAATGGGGGCGTGTACAGAAGGCAACTTATGGATGTTTCTCACATTGATGTTTCTCTCTCTGTGTCTGTCTCTGTCTCTCTCCCTCCCCTTCTCTCCAAAAACCAATGAACATGTCCTTGTGTGAGGGTTAAAAAACATTAATAGGACTAATTTATCTTTATTCCTTCACAAATAATACAATTATTACCTCCCATTCACAGAATACTTACTCAAAATGCCATTCAAAAATGAATTAAATAACAGCCACTCAGTTGGTGGATAGACTCACTCCTTGCTTCACTTCTATTTTCCTCCACTTGTCAACCCTCTGACTAATTTACTTAGTTCTAAAGTGACACCTTATTCCTGGGCATCAAGAATCCTCTGAAAGACATGCAACATGTTGAATGGGTGTGGATCTTTTCTGGTGATAAAGTCCCTAGCTTTAGCCAGATTTTTAAAAAGACCTGTCCCCTCCCAAACGCTCCCTAGAATTCCAGGCTGACGTTGGGGAGAAGGTAATGACGGTGGTGGTGTTGTTACCCACAATGAAAGATTTTATGAAAGTAGCCTCTGGGACTATTCTACCAAAGCATTGAAGGATTTCGTGAAATTGAATTTATCCTCCAAAAGGATGGACTTAGTAAGACAGAGTTTGGAAAGCACCAGAGGATTGCATTTATCCACGCTGACTTTGTCTTCTTTCCTGCAAGACTTCACTAGTTTGAAACCAAAGGAAAAGAAATCATCTTCTCATTTTTCTTGTTGATTTTGGCTTTATTAACTCAATGTTAATGCAGATGATAGGAAAAACGGACATATCTTCTTACTTAGTTATTTCCTAGAAAAACTTTTACTTTGGAACTACTAAAATGCAGACTACCTGCAATGGTAGAAAAATTACAAAATGACTAGGATACCAGGGGACACACTTGACCTTTAGAATGAAATGAAAGCTCAACTGCTTTTTATTTTAAATTGAATAGACAGGGCAAACCTAACAAACCAGCCCACTGCTGCTTCAACTGGAAAATTCCTCCATTTTCCATTCTTCTGCAATTCGCAGCGAAGCGCCTCACAAAGGGAAGGCGCTCAAATACGTGTTGGATTGAGTCAATTCTCTGAGTATCGCTCATAAATTAATGAGGAACGTGTAACTCTGTATAGTTTCAGGGTAGTTAAAGGGAGAAAAAAAAAAGAAATGCTACGTAACAGCATTGGGGCTTCAGGTGTTGTTACCTAATAGACTGGAAGGCTTCCCAGCAGTGCACTTAAGGTATCAGCCCTAGCAACCTTACCTAGGAATTCCTCACCCCAAGCTTCTTTCTAATGCAAATAGGTTTGAATTTCTCTCCCCAGCTCCTGACCCCTGACTGAAAGTTCTCTGCAACAAAGAGATACTACCGTAACTAGGCCTGCCTAGCAAAAACCCATTTTAAACTTCACTTCAAAACGGCGTAAACAGTTGGTCCTTGAGCAATGCAGGGGTCAGGGACGCTGACCCCGTGCAGCCAATCATGTAAGTATAACTTGTGACTCCCCAAAACGTAACTGCCAATAGCCTACTACTAGCAAGAAGCCTTACCAATAACAAACAGTCCATTGACACATTTTGTACATCTAAGGCGCGTTGTTTCCAGTTTCCCATAAGAAAAAGCTGACTTTCAGTCCCCTGCCCTAAATTGCCATTTTTGTTATAAAAGCTTTCCTTCATGTTTTTAATATTCTAGACGCCGATGGATAACACAGACTCTTCCCGCGGGTCTGACCGCCTTCTTCACAGCCCTAGACTCTCGCAGTTCCCGCCGTGGCGGGCTGGGCCGGAGGGCGCACTCAGTAGACCCATCCTGTATAATTGGAGGCAGCTCCTGGTCTCCAGGTGAGGGCGCCCAGAAGATCAGAACGGCAATTGGGGTACAGCGCCTACCACGGAGGCCGCCGCAACCAGATGTCAGAGCAGCAGGCTCTTGGCAACCCTCGGCTACGGGAGTTTCCGGAGACCCGAGGTTCAGGTTCTGCCAGGGGGCTGAGCGGGGCTCCCCCAACAGGCAAAAGCGGGCAGACCCACCCTGCATAACTGGAGACAGCTCCTGGTCTCCAGGTGAGGGCGCAAACAAATCAGTTTTGTGTTTTTTATAAGAAAACCGATCGGGATACCAGCAGGTTGGACTAAGAAAGCGCCCCGATGGCCGCAGCGGGGCTGGGATGAGGGCGTTTGGGAGCAACGTCCAGGCGCTTGAGAAGTTAGGACCGCAAAGCAGCAAACAGCAGAGGGATGCAGACGCCTCGGAAAGATGCAAACGACTGCAAGGCTGTCTCGCTGCAAAGGTCCCGCAAAACAAACACAACACAACACAACACCGAGGCTGCGGAGGAGGATGTGCGGGAAGTTTGCACAGGACAGAACTTCTGGGGACTCGGTCCTGTCCGGGTTCAGAGGCGGCGCAGGCGTGGGCAAGTCTAGTTAGCTGACCATTATTTGTAAGAGAGAGAGAGAGAGAGAGAGAGAGAGAGAGAGAGAGAGAGAAAGAGAGAGAGAG